AAAATGTGTAAAATATGCATTTAAACAAGAAATAAGGTAATTAAAGTATATATATAAAAATATCTATAAAGCATAAGCCGTTTAAATACTCTATAGAGCATTATTAAACAATGCGTTGATACTTTGGAAATTTCATGGATTAAGGCTTAGTAGCAAAAAAGCCCTGGCCCTGGAGAGACGCTCGCGGAAGACACTGCCGGCCTCCACGATAAGCGCGCGCTTTCGCTACCCGGCTCGAAGGGGTTAAAATTAGTTTCTACGCAAAAACAAGCAATTCAGCCAGCAGACAAGAAGGCAGTACCCAGGAAAGCCTTTCTTAACACTTTATAACAAGTTTCTTACTAATAACCAAAATTATAATCACTAACTAAACGTAAAGTGTGCGTAACATCTCACAACTTATAATAAAACACAAAGTCTAATATCCAAACGAGATGTTCAAAATGGCTGGAATAGTAGGGGGGGGATTTATTCTGAAACTACAGTCAAAAGTCTTTAATCTGGACGTCCATAATCTGGAATGATCTATAATCCAGACCTCAAAGCTACAAACATTCTGTGCATAATACATTTATGCATGCACATTTAATGTATAACGGACGGTATAAGCTAAGCAAAAATTATCTATTTCAGTTAATGTTGCAGATTGCGTTGCTCCTTAATCTCTAACTATTCCGAAATCTGTTTATCAATTTCACGCTGCTCTGCGGGGGCGGGGGGGACGTCGCGGCTCGCAATGAACTGGAAGTTGATTTGTCAGCACTATCCTTATCTTCAGGGCAGATGTTTTTATTTTATTCAGCTTATAATTCCTTACTAAATGCAGTATTTCATCTCAATGTACTTTGTCTTTGATATGATTTAAATCAAATTCCTCATTATTATAAATATCACGAATACACATCAAATAGTTTTCTGGTTGCAATTTTCTAATTTCAACTATGCGTAATGTATGTTTTACACATGTGCACGTTGAAAGAAATGTTTAATAAAGTATACAAATAAATATTAAACTTTTTCGTAAATTCTGATACCCTTTAGATCATAATTGCTCTTTACTTCATAAATTACGGTTTCATATTTTTAATTTTATAATTTCTGCATGCCATCTTACGAGATTTAAACTGATGATCTATAATCTGGAAAAACGGATAATTCAAAATCGCCGGAGTCCCAACGAGTCCTGATTAAAGACTTTTGACTGTACTATACATTGTAAATTAATGCCACATAAAGACTTCTTTTAGAACCGTATTCATTCTTTCATGTGCTCATATAAAATTCTAGTTGATCTTTACAATATGGTAACTGGTAGTTTGGCGACATTTTGGAGGCGATAAAGGTTACTACCTGGGACTTTGGTAATAATGTGAGCAGTACTCAGTTCCGATTACGCATTATTTTGTGTGAGGGAACTGAGAGATCATGGGATATGTCATGTGATATTAAAGGACGAATTACGGTTCTTTAATCGGAAAAGGGGGGAAATCGGGAAAAAATCTGGAAATTTTGTATTTGGCTTTATTCTGTGTTGTGTGAAACAGTCTTGGTTAATTTTTGGATCCATGGCCGTAACTAAAGTGAATTCGAAATGGGTATTTAGTGGTATTTGAAAAGGGTAGTAATAAATGTTTGTTTAAGGTTGTGCGAGAAATAGACATAAAGATTTTATTAAGTTATTTTTTACCTGGTATTTGCTGTGAAATATAAGTATGATTTGAAAGATCCTGAAACAGAAAGAAGAAAAGTTTATCGGACACGTCATCAAGATTCTGAAGAAGATTAGGTAAGTTAGTATTTTTAATTAATTGAGGATATTATTTTTATGCATTGTTCTAAATGTAACGTGGAAAGGAATTTGGTATTATTGGGAAAATTGTTATTAGCAATGATTTAGTTTAAAGTAATTATGATTGTAAGCTCATTTTTATTAATTTAGTGTATGTGCTCATTTATATTTTAAGTAGTGTTTTTGAATTTAATTATATTTTAATGAAATGATAGTTATTTTGTGAATTTTATGTTTGTAGGAATTTGGTATACGTTTTAGTTGAAGTAAACGTGCATAGAAATAATTTAAATATCTGACACTAAGTATTTGTAATGCTTGCAATATGAATTCGTTGGTGACGTTTATAATATAATAGATGATTTAGAGGTAAAAGTTTTTGGATATTTTATTTATTTTATATGTGGAAATGTCATATTTGGAAAGGGTAAATACTTTTTCCCGATCAGGTAATTTCATATATGTTCTTTTTACCGGGTTTAAAGATTGAGAAAATTGTCATGTATTTTTGTGAAATTTTTCTAATTTATGAGAAAAAAGCAGTGTACATGGATATAGTGAAAAGTGTGCGCAATGCCATTTTTGTGCAATTCTGGGATGTTTTTTTAAGTAAAAATAAGTCGGCGTGTACATGGTTTATGTGTATGTGTTGCGTAAGGAGTATGGTATTGTGCACTTTTTTCCAATTTTGCAGTGAATATTTGTCATGATTAAGCAGTTTTGTTTGATAAAATTTCTAGCATAAGTGTGATTCGGCTAGTAGATTGTTGGAAGAAGTGTTCAGTAGATAAAAAGAAAAGAAACATGTCTTTACTGGGTTGCTGTAGGAGAGTTGGTTGCCAAATTTTCGCCAAAAAATCGCCAAGTTACCATAATGTAAAGATCAACCAAAATTCTTTCTGATTATTTCCAATGCTCAGCACCTTTTAATTCAGTAATTCGTACTAACTGAATGCATCTACATCACTTTAAATGACCCGACTATGCAAATTTTCACTTTATTATCTATCTGCTGCACTAAGTACGGATATCTCCCCCTTCACGAACAACTTCCGAGTCACTTTTATACTCATTACTATGCAGAACAATATTTTTTAAATTGGAGATTTTTGCTGATAGTGGCAGTACTTCACCAATATCTTCTGCCAGAAGTTTTAAATTTTCTTTTTTTAAATATTTCACTGATTAAAACATCATTTAAACCTCTGAAACGTAAGCTTTTAATATGTTTCGAAGTAATCCCCATCTGTCATAATACACATCTGTGCTCTGCTGTAGACGTTGTGAAAACGACTTTTAAAGTCCTCTTTCAGAAGGCTCGTCAATGTTGATGTCGCATTGCATGATAACGCCCACCCTCACATTGCGTTCCCAGTGAAGAGGTTTTTGGCCAAGCATGAGATCGTGGAGCTGCATCATCCGCCATACTCTCCTTACTTGGTCCCCCAAGACTTCTTTTAGTTTCCCAAACTAAAAACTGTGATCAAAGGAACACGCTTTGTGGATGTTGATGACATCAAGAAGAACGTGACGTCCACATTGAAGAGCCTTCCGAAAGAGGACTTTAAAAGTTTTTCCACAACTTATACAGCCGAGCACAGAAGTGTATTACGGCAGATGGGGATTACTTTGAAACCTATTAAAAGGTTACGTTTTTCACATCATCTGTTCTGGTGTTATTAGAGCAGTCCTCGAAATTAATAGCCACACCTTGTATAATTAATTAATATTATGTATATGAACTGTTATTGATCTATTCCACTCTGAACTGCACTTCTGAATGCTTGTTAATTGCTGCTTGTGTTAATCTCTAATAAATCAGCTTGTGTTAATTTTTAATCAATAGTTTTAACTTACTAGTACACTACTTCTATTTTTCTAACAGTAACTGCAAAAATTGTATAAATGAGTTTATTTCTTTCACAAGAAATGAAAATTGATGTTTTGGTTATTGAAGGCAAATTCTTAACAAATCGGTTTTATAAAGGCAAATTCTTAACAAATCGATTTTATAACGCAGTAACTTAAAAAGGTGTATAAATAAAAGAAAACTCATGCTGGACCCAATAATTAAAATCATTAATTTTCCTGATAATCGGCACAAAAGAAAAACTATTTTCCATATATACCATAATTACAAATACTATATAAACTACAATGTGCATAAAGCAAATTTATTAATGAAAATTTCTGTAATTTATAAATTAAATTTCACCTATATCATTTAAAATTACAAACAAATCGAATAATTACGGTACATACTATTTGCAAAATGTACAGTATTAAAAATAATTTATAATTTCAATATTACAGAATCAGTAATAATTACTTATAAAGTTTTTACCGGACTGAAAGGAATGAATCTTTAGGAAATACACATATTTATATGCCTTATAAAATACTTCAGAAATTTAATTTATATAATAAAATATGTTCTGCTCCTACCACTATAAACAGAAATAAGGACCTAACATAATAAAAGTTGTGAATACTTTGGAAAAATTTCTCCAACAGTAAATCATGCAATAATGAAGTTTATAATATCTATAATTTTTGCTAAACATTCCACACTGTATTAATGCTCTTAAATTAGGGAGAAGTGAAATTACTCAATATTTTCTATTGTAAAATATATTACAGACCTATAGTTAATAACAAGTATTCGTGCCCAGCTATTTGCAGTTACACAGTTTCTAAAAAATACTATGTTTTAGAATTCATAATAATCCTCAAATTAAGAAAATTATACAGATTACAGAAAATATTTTCACATAAAAAAGCTACTACAATCTGAATTCTTTTAATAAATTAGCCATGGATATATAACTACTGCTGCATTAGTTATAAATTCCACTGAAGAATTTAAATTTTTATTATTCCAATTTTCCCGAGAGGACTATTTGTATATACTATATAATAAAAAATTACAGCTGTTTTGGCTGTAACTAATATTATCTCACATCAGTAAAATTTACTGGGAAATATAGCAAATAATAATAAAGCTTATACAACCAATGGCCATTGCAAGCAAATCAAAGCATGAAAAGAAAATATATCTCTATTCAAAATTTTCAGTGGCAAATACATTTGACATTTAATTTTTCACATTACCTAACACTAAAAACGAAATTTTATAAATTAATACACTGAAATGAGAAAACACAAAACGAAACACTAAAATTTAATATAAAGTGAGACTCTGTTATAGTACCTTAATCATCTGGTATGTGTCTTTACAAGCAGCTGCTGACACAAATTTTACCATAGTAATTATTTCTGCCGCAGCAATTGCTTGGTTAACTTTGTTGGACATCTTGCCCAGCAAATTATCACCTATGTACGTCCAATTAAAATACTGAGGGCTGAAATTCCCTCCCAAAGTTCCGTAATTTCCAAACCGCAGTTCCTGAACAATGGAGCTAAAAGTTATACTCCAGTTAACCATACAATCTACAATGGTAACAGAAATTTGATTAAAACCGAAATTTTCGTGCATTGCAGCTAGTACACCCAATACATCAGAGCCTGGTCCTCCGCCTAAGCTGCATAATTTTAAGCAACCATTTCTTAAAGTATTTTGAAACACAGAAAAGTTCTGTATTAATGCTCTATTAATCATATGATAAACCATTACAGTATGCAAAGGAGCGTATTTATGTAAATAGGCACACCTATGTGCGGCATCATTATAATTGGCAACATCAACTGTTTCCGACGTTAAACTAGTAGGATTTGGTAAGTAAATTTGTTTCATATTTCCTATTCCTCCTCTGATATCGTTTATGTTCAATTTATATTTAAGAATATCTTCATGAAGAACACTTTCATATAAGCGAACAATAGCACTGTTATCAAACATCGTGAATTATTCCGTAAACACTGGTTTAAAGAATTAAGAGAAAAAAACGACGATATAAGGTGCAGGAAGATGACTTGGAATTAAAACGATGGACTAATCATGATTACTCAAAATGTTCCATAAATATAATTTTAAAATATTCGCGGCTGAAAGGTTCCGTTCAAATCGAAACCATACCTCGTATTGCAGCAACCTCGCGATGTTGGCGATTTCCATTATCAACTTGTTGACAGCTTGGCGAAAATGTGCTGTCATCAGGCAATTTCCATCTGTCGGTATGACTACGCAATCATTCAGCTCGAACATTATTTAACTTTTAATCGGGACAAATACTGGAATATAATATTTCTGGTACAGGCAAAATTTGTATAATAAATACTCTCTTTTAATAGTAATGTCACGTCATATGAGTTAAAACTTTTATTTATTGTCGCTTAAAGTTTATAATTAACATAACCTAGTTAACTAGCGCATAACAGAGAAGCCGAATCTGGAAACTTCCGAAGGTCAAACTGTTATCTAATAACATATTATTTTGTGATCATGGCTTAAATTCAGCCATAGTCCAGCTCTAGCACTTCTTGAACAAAACATAATTCAAGTCAGATAATTATCCCAGATAAAATGAGCTCAGGTGTTTTTGTTTACAATTTCACTATTTGCCATTAATGTATTAATTTTTATCTCTTTGCTTCGTTTTAATTATTTATTAATTATTCCTTAATTTATTGTTGACCCTTTGTAGAGCTCCTATACATCTAAATTTAGAAATTAAGTCCTGTTTGTGATTCAGATTCACTGCAAAGAAAATAATTTACTTATTTTGTAATTTTGTGTATACACTTTAAATATGCAGCCCAACCGGTATAGTGGTTAACGTCGCTGACTGCCGTGCCGCAGGCCTCGGGTCCGAATCCCGGAGAAGTCATGAATGTTTGTCAATGTATAGTGTCCATGCGGCATGGGGGCACTCTAAATATGCGGCTAGCCGAATGTTCTCTCGAGAAGCTGATTGTAGGGGAAGAGGGAGGGGGTACTCTCGGACTCGTGCCCCATCCCGGGATGCTCTTCATCAAAATTGGGAGCGAAACTGAGCTAAATTGCATTGTCACTTGTAAGGTGCTCAAGGTTGTTGCCAACGGCAGGCGTAAACTTGCGCTCCTTGCCATGAGAAATTTCTTGGGCTTGGGCTGACTTATATGTCAGACAAGTGAGCATTAGCAGCAGCATCAACTCGAAATATTCAAGTGGAATTTGCTATTTCTATCCAAATGATATTTCAAGGGCATAATTTCTTATACTGAAATATTTTTGAATCTTAATACAGAACCTTTTTATTGTTATGTAAGATAAAAGTTATAGCAAAATACTAACTTTAATTTACAAAAAGCATTTACCTCTCAATTTTAATTTTGGTATTTCCCTTTCCTGTTCTAAAAACAGTAAATGCTGATAATAAATCTCTCTAAACTGCATCACTGCAAAATTAATAGACATTATATGACGTTTACGAACGTCGGTTACGAGTATGGTTTTATGAACTGTAACACAAGCAGCCAATAATAATAATAGAAAATTATTAATTAGCCAATTCAATGATATCGAAATCGAAATTAAATCACTCTGAACTAGGATTTCGTCTCGAATGTACCACGTTTGCTTTCTTATTCTGTTGCTGATTACAGCTGCCGTGCTGGTACTGATTCTGTTCTTGCTTCAACGATATGAAAGAACGAATTTTTAATTGCGTCCAGTTTACTATACAATTAATGTTATTTCATGCAGTTATACGGAATCTGTAAACGTTTCAAAATTGGATGTAACTGACTCAAAACGGATTTTTTCGGTTGAAATTTGTTTGTATTTTGCAAATATTTATCTAGAGTCCTGCAATTTTCAGTTGGAACATTATTAATCCTTAAATTCATCCATATATATAGACTATTGGGATAACGAAAAATGCTTTAAGTTACTCTTCTTTTATCGCGACCCCGACCTTCATTTGTGTTCTAAATAAAGGGTATACGAGGATAATATATCACCAAACTCTTGGAAAAACGGAGCATACTCTAAGCATACCTTATGAGATCCTATTACGTCAGGTATTGAAACAAAGAATCATTGAATAACTGTGGCAAAGAATTTGAATCTTTGATTAAACTGCCAGACAGTGTTAAATTTTTAACTTTTTACTTTTGCTCCCATTTTCCTTGACTCTTACTTTATAAATGTTGGTTCTTTTTCATTATTTATCATTGCTCATGTGCGATACTTGAGCTGGTTTATATGTTTGGTTTAGTATTTCTAATAGAGCCATATGTAACAACATGTTTGTACGCCAACAAGCGAATACTAGCCAAATAGGGGAACTTTGAAATTTTATCGTTGTTGCTATGACAACCACGAAATGAGAAAGAGACGGGAAAGTCCCTTTTGTTGTTTGTTGTCTTTTGTTTAGAATGCAAAGATCAAAGAGGCATTTTAAACTGAGAGAACTGTGGATTTTTCCTTGTGAGCAAACAGCAACGATCTACTTCATTCATACGCCAAAAAAGCGATTATAACCGTGGCCTTCGAGAACAGTCAAGTTATAACTCGAAGGTCACGTTATAACCAAACGTGAAATCGGCTTTGCAAGCGGTTATTGTAAAACATAAAAGAAAAATATCCGCGGATTTCCGTTTGGTTTAGTGTCTGAAACGGCAGTCTGGTTTGATGATAAATTTGATTTAGTAGCTGTATTTGTGCATTTCAATAAACGATTATGAAATCACTGCTTTATAAAATGAAGGTACAAACAACAGAAAAAACAGTAGTCCTCTTATTTCTTTATAATTAAATATTTAACACATTTTTATTTCCACGACAGTTAATTCAGGAGATATTAATGTTTTCCTTTCGTCAAGAGATTAAAAAATACAAAAATGTTTTAACTAATATTATATAATTAAAAGTTGCCTTTCTTATGAAAATAATGGTTATGCTTATGCTTTTTAACAAAATTTTAAATATTAACTATTCTTTTTAAATAAGTAAAGGAAGTATTGTAATAGCGAAAATTTTCGGGTATCATATTTAAAAGAAAATATCCATTTTGACCACTATTTAAAATGAATTCAGAGGAGATTTTATTCGTGACGTCTGTATGTACGTATGTATCTTGCATAAACGAGTAGCTTCCGAATATTGAAATTTTGTATATAGGATTGCTATAACATGTAGTTGTGCACCTCCCCTTTTGGTTGCAATCGGCAGCCCCGAAAGTTATAAGCACTGAAATAAGAACACTGAGACGTAGATGCGTAGAAATACTAATTGCGCAGATATAGTTCGACCGCCTCATCCGCGACCATGAGCATAAACACGCATGCGCCATTCGGACCGAATTATTCTCAAAATAGGGTGGAAGGATGAGGACTTTCTTTCCCTTCAGCATAGCTGTTTCCGGAGGAGAAAAGGCCTTTCGCGTCGCAGCAAGTAATACCGCCTCTTTTGGACGAGTCTATGTATTTTGGCAGAATGCCAACCAGGGTTGCGCTATAGACGGTCGAACTATACTTGATGCTTAGAGCGTCCATCCATTTTTGAAGAAGAAACAGTCGAGCCGGATTAAATTCCTTTTTTATTTAAATTCTCATTTTGTGGCCAGACATTTTTATTTCCAATTGACATATGTGACCACAGATCACCTGGCACCCTAGTCGTGCCTGTTCACGAACATTTACGTTATTGACATTTGCAATAGGAAGCAGCATAGCGAAATTGCGTCCAAGCACAGCACAGACAGAAGCTGAAGTGCGTAGTTATGAAAGATGGAAGCACGCGAAGAGAAAAGTTTTGGTTTAACAATTTGGTGATTGGTCAATAGGCATCTACATTAAGGGTTATGTAAGATCGCATGATTAATTTTAATGACGCAGTTTAGACTTACAGCGCTATTTTTTGGACAGATAGATGAAGTTCTCAAATGAAATAAAAGAGGTTATAGTGAATTAAATTTAGAAATTTGCTTTCATATTTTTATCTTACACATTCTCCCCTTTCAAGATTGAAATTATGGTTTTACTTTTATTACTACATTTTACAATTTTCTTATTTTACACAAACTAGAAGACCCCAAAGCTTTCTCCTATTTTTTTTTTTTTTTTTTTTTTTTTTTTTTTTTTTTTTTTTTTGTTTTTTTTTTTTTTTTTTTTTTTTTCACCAAACTAGAGACCCCAAACTAGTACATACATCGAGCTATTTGGGCAAATCCACTTTAAAACAAACTCATGTATTAAATTTTCACAAGAAGTTAGTGAACTGCGCTACAACATTCCATTATATTAAAAAAAAATCACACTCCATCATATGAAAAAATAAAAATCTTATATAAAAAATTAAATAATGTGGGAGCCTTCAAAGTTTATAGGACATGAGGAGAGTAAGAGGAACAATTATACATAGATAAAACATGCCTCTGTTTCTGAACCAGTACTCCCTCATCATAGTTTATACTACATATACAATTATTGATAATTATAACATTCATTTACCATAATTCCAAGCAAATTTTAATATACTGTAATCTTAATTAAATTCTGATATAAATTTTAATACGATTATTCAATTTCTTAAATCTTTGGTATTTGTATATTAATTTTAACAACATGTAACATTCTCCCATTTAATAATTATTTCATTTATATTTCACAAACATAAATAAATAAAATAATCTAAAAATAATTAGAAAGTTTTCTTAAACTGAAAATTTTAAACATGCCTTTTACAAAATAATTCCAAAATTCTTAATATTAATTCAAAATTTTTGACAAAACTTATAATTACTAATAACAATAAAATTTAAAAAATCTTCCCTGAATAAAATCTTAGAATACTTATGACATTTTAATTTGATACAGTACAAAGTCTGTAATCCGGACGTCTATAATCCGGAATGATCTATAATACGGACCTCAAAGCTACAAACTATTACGCATGCGCATAATGCGTTTACACATGCGCGTTTAATATATAACGGACGGCATAAGCTAGGCTAAAATTATCTAAGGCATTTCAGTTAATGTTGTAGATTGCGCTGTTCCTTAATCTTCTAATTCAATCCGGCTTATTATTTTATAAAAATTAAGCTTGAACTTTCGATTATGTCAAAAAGAGTTTCCAATTCTGGAGCTGCCAAA